GCACGGCACCGGATCTTCCTCCAGTCCCATCCATCACTGAGGTCAAAGGAGCCACGGCATGTCACCCCAAACTTTTCGCAAGCTTCCTGAAAACGTCCAGGTGAAAAGATCTCAATCATAGTCGGCTTAGTGCTGTCATCTGCAAGCACTGGAAGCACCTCGCTCAACTGCTCCTGCAATTGTTTCCGTTCCAGAGTTTTGAAGACACACCAAGCTCCTGTCTCATCATAATCATCTTCACTTTGATCTCCACCTCCATCGTTGCCTTCGGTCTCAGGGCAACGTCGATCAGTCACCATATTCACCTTGGTTTCAGCTCCTTTGGGGATCACATCCACCTCTTCAGTCTCCAATTTGGCTGGACCTTTGAAATCCAACAGATTGATCTGGTAAGAGCCATCTCGTTTCTCCAACATCTCAGTGGAAATGCCCAGCTTCTTGAAGTGAACATGATTGTCCCCCAAGTCCAGATTTGCACCCAAACTTTTGAGAAAACGTTTTGATACCAAGAGCGGCACCTCTCCTGGGACGACATGAACTCGCATTCGTAGTTGGGCTCCTCCAAGATAGACTGGAATTTGGACTCTTCTTGTAGAGGTGTCTGATGTCCCATTACCGTATCTGAAGGTATGGGGTCGTGAAGTGAGTTCTTCAATGTCTAAGCCAAACTTGGTCATGGCTTCTTGGTGTCGTTTCAACGTTTGTTCTCCCACCAAACCGCGTCCGCATCCCGTGTCAACAACCCCAAGCCCAGGTTGATGCACCAGCGCGACCAAGCTTTCGTCTGTTCCTTCTCCTTCTTCCTCAGACTCTGGCTCCAGGCATGACTCACTCACTGCTACTTGATAGGCATGACTCAGCTCCTCCACTGTGTTCGCCAAATCCTCCTCTTCCATCTCATCTCCATGGCTCTTCAGACGGTAAAACACGCTCTTTCCTGTCCATGACCAACCTGTTGCTCTGCTGCATTCTGTCCTGTTCCGCCAATTTGGGGAGTAAATCTCCTCTGTCTTGCCATCCTCCCTCACGGCAAAAGTCTTTCGCGCAGGACTCAACTCATGCGCAGGGCACGGACAGTTGGAAAAGTTTGGACTGTAGAGTGACGCTCTTGGCAACACGTGTTCACGAATGACCATGTCACCCTCAGTTCTCCAAAAATCCCTTGGTGCTTGCCCCCATGCCTCCACCAATGACATCACGTCCTGGTCATTTTCCAGGTCACTCCTTGCCATCAGCACAAAACTTGCCCTCGATGACGATGCCGTAGATGGTGGCGCTGACTTGCCGAACTTCTTCTTGCTCGGGCAATCTCTGGAAAAATGTCCCACCTGTTTGCACTTGAAACATCGGACTCTGGCCTCGATTCTTTTCAGGTCGCGGCCACTTGCCAGACCTCGAGACAGCTTCTCTTTGGTAATGTTTGCCCTTGTCTGCTTCCATGACAGCAAAACATCAATCGCATCCTGCTCCTCCAACACCTCCTCAGAGTTTATGTCAAAGGTGCCCTCGGTGAACATCACATCGCCCTCTTCCGGAGCGTCCTCGGACTCAATGAGATCATCATCATTCAGGCTGTCCACCTGAGCCACATGAGACTGACGTCCCATGAAAAGACCCTCTGGGTATGTTGTCCTCAAAGCCGATGCCACATCCTGTTCAATGTAACTTTGGCGCGCAGCTGCCATCACCACTGCCTTCTTCTCCGGTGACAGCTTTGCAAACCTCAGTAACAAGTATCCTCGGGCAATCGCCGGGAATTTGATGCCCTCAGATTCTGCCGCAGTGAACGCTGCACGAACCCGCCCAGTGTATGCCGCCGTAGTTTCACCCTTCTCCACCTTCAGGTCAAAGATGTTGTCCAGCACTTCCCCCACCCGATCATGGGTGGCTTCTTCAGGAAATCGCTCATCCAACACTTGGTATATGATGTCCTGACCTCCAGCCTGCTCCAATTCATCCATGCCGTGTGAATCGAAAGCTCTCAGTGCTGCACCATCTAACAGAGTGAACAAAATGGAGCCAAGTGCTTCTTCACTGACTCCTCTGGCTTTCTGGACCACCAGATGAGCTCGTGACCATCGCTTCCACTGCTTGTACTCTTTCTGCGGATTCGGTCCTTCTCCTGAAAAACGTTTCACCGCAGTCTCTGGTCTGCTTTCCATCCCTTCGACGCAGCCGTAGCCAGATTTTGGCTCAAGCCAGTCAAAACGGCCAAGAACGATTGACCCTGCAATCGACCACACAAACGTCAAAGCAAAACCTATTGCTCGGAAAGCGGTAGCCCCCTTTTGGACTCAGCTAAGCCTCTAGGCCCTGTGACCTTGGTCAAATCCCCAGATGCTGGCTTGAATGATAAAATGCCAGCGGGCAAGAACATATGTGATGGAAACACCCAAGAGAGTGCAGACATGAGAGAAAAGCAATGATGATGATGATGACGACGATGATGATGATGGTAATGATAATGATGAGATGATGATGGCGATAATGATGATGATGATGATGGTGATGATGGTGGTGAGGTTGATGATGATGATGGTGATGGTGATGATGCTGATGGTGACGATGATGTTGATGATGATGAGGGTGATAATGCGGAAGATGAAGTGGAGGATGACAAGGTGAAGGATGATGATGTAGAGAAGGAGGAAGGTGATGATGTTGAGGAAGATCAATCATGATAAGGAGGAGGAGGGAAGTGGTGATGATGATGATGATGACAAGGAGGAGCAGGACGGTGATAATGCGGAAGATGAAGTGAATGATGGTAAGGTGTAGCATAATGATGCAGAGAAGGAAGAAGATGATGTTGAGGAGGATCAATGATTATGATGATGATAGAGATGATGATTGCCATGGTGATAATGATGATGATGATGCAAATGATGATGAAAATGATGATGGTGATGATGATGATGATGATGATGATAAAGATGATGATGGCGATGATGAGATGATGAGATGATGGTGGTGGTGGTGGTGGTGGTGATGGCGATGGTGATGATGATGCTGATGATGATGATGGCCATGATGAGATGATGAGATGATGGTGGTGGTGGTGATGGCGATGGTGATGATGATGATGATGATGACAAGGAGGAGGGGGAGGAGGAGGAGGAGGAGGAGGGTGATAATGCGGAAGATGAAGTGGATGATGATAAGGTGGAGCATAATGATGTAGAGAAGGAAGAAGATGATGAGGAAGATCAATGATTTTGATTCGATGATGATAAAGATGATGATTGCCATGGTGATGATGATGATGATGATGGTGATGATGATGATGATGCAGATGATGATGAACATCATGATGAACATCATGATGATGATGATGATGGTGGTGGTGGTGATGATGATCACCAAGAAGGTAAGGATGATAATGCTGATGATGATGGTGTTGATGCTGTTGATGAAGAAGATCATGATGATGAAGATGATGATGATGATGATGAGGGTGATAATGCGGAAGATGAAGTGGAGGATGATTTGGTGGAGGAGAATGATATAGAGAAGGAGGAAGATGTTTATGTAGAGGTGGATGATGAAAAGGATGATCATGTTGCAGAAGATGAGGTGGAGGATGATGATGTTGCGGAAAATGAGGTGGAGGTTGATGATGTTGAGGATGATGAGGTCAAGGAAGACCGATCACAGACCGGGATTTGTGCGAGACTGCGCAGTCGAAATGCATGTCAAAATTTCAGAAGAGCCACTTTACACAGAAATTTACAGGAAAAATGCCGCTCCCCAGATTGAGGCCAGACCGCGGACATACACTTTGCGCGAGCCTGCGCAGTCGAAATGCACTTCAACATTTCAGAAGAGCCACTTCTATACGGAAATTTACAGGAAAAATGCCGACAATGGTGCTACAACTTTTCAAACCTACAAACACAGGCCGGCAACGTATGACATGGTGCAATGATTACTTCTATTGATTATTTACATACTAATTCAAGAGATAGCTAGGATCACCCTTGCTACCTTGGGACAAAAAATTGAGCCCTGTAAGGTTTGAATGCTGTATTTCCCATGATGTTGCAAGGCTGTATTCTAGTTGTTGTTTTGTAGAAACCGCCAAATCTAAGCAATGGCGATGTCAAAACGGGCACTTGTTTAACGTAGAGATTTGCTTAGCTTGTGTCATTAATTATTCTTGGGTATTGTAACACAACTGTGTACAAATGCATGTTACATGTTCATGTGAAGATACAGAGATTGAATTTGCTACTTGCCATGGGTCTATTTTTATTATGCTTTGCAAAAGAATAAACAATGTAGAGCCAAGGATATGGGTCTATCTCCACCCCTACTGTGCTATTCTATATGAACTTTCCAGAACCAAATGAAATATACAACAAGTAACAATGCAACAGAAACAAAGTAACATTAAAAAAAAAGGAACAAACAAGAACAAAAAGCTATGGGCTATGAGTATAAATACGCATAAATTATCACAAAAACATCACAAAGCACTGCAAAAATTGGGCCCTGGTGGCGTCTCTCTCTCAAATAATTAATAATGGCACATATGGCTTCCAAGGTGACGGTCTTGGGTGGATTTCCCAAATTTATCATAGTTTCCCGGCAATCCCGTTTCCCTATAATATACTATTGAATCAATAGTATAACTCCCCAGAAACCGTGGCTTGGTAGGAGATTTACACGTATTTGGGACCAAACAATGGGGGGTGTTTGATATGAATCGGGGAATCGGATTGTAGAATTATAGATGATGTTCCCATTTACCTTGTAGAAGAGGTTGCCCAATATCAATGGGATATTCCCAATATAAATGGGATATTTCTAATAGTTTCCCATTACCATGGAAAACACCGGTTGCCCAAACAATCATAAACAATCCTCCAAATCACCATAAATAGGTGGTATAAACCATCAAAAATGGTATGGTGTAGTATTGTTTTAACCGCATTACCCATGATGGTTCCCAATATTCCAAGCAATTTTGCCGTTGCGAATCTCAGGCATTGCCCAGCTACGTCCTCCTCGCAGAGCTTGCGTATCTTCGGGTGTTGTTCCATTGGCGCGGCATTCCTGGGTTCGAAGGTCACACAAATTTTCTGACGATGTTCTAGGGAAAAACTAGGTAAATACAGGGGGGTTAACATGATGAAACCATCCAAAATACCAAAGATAACGGTAAAACACGATAAAACAGTTCATATTTCATGAGGATATAAAGTCATGGGGATTTCACCGGGGAATCATGAACAGATTGAACAGTAAGTTCGTTTAGAACTAGGCTCACTGTTGGATGTATTCTGGACCTATCATGATACGTGATAATTATATCTAATTGATTTTAATTGAAGGGGCTATAAACCAACTTATGCCGAAATTGGGTCGAACTTGAAACCAGCAATCCGCAGCAAAAAGTGTGGTATCCTTTGGGCTAGCGGTGGACAGTGAAGCTTTGGCCAAAATAAAAATCTGATTCCGGCAATGTGGGCTGGGCTACTGGGCTACTGGGTAGATTTTCTGGTGCTTTGAGCCCTGATAATCTTAGATCATTCATGATCTCCCAAGATCCACCAGCTTGGTTCAGAACTCCACCAATCGCAGCCAAAACTGGTACATGTCTTCACTTCCCGCAGTAATAAGCGTTTGAACATACAATAATCCTCCGGTAATCAAACATGGCAGTGGAATTCACAAACGATTTTGACATTAAAACGGTAGGTGATTTTCAATTGCCACGCTAGATTACCGGAGGATACCGGAGGGTAATCCTCCACTCTGGTCTGTCACACATGCAACTGCCATTCTGGACAACTTCTGGTAGAATATGACATGTTGGGAGATAAACATAATGTACTCATTGGTGGATTGATTGAAACCAACTGTCCCAACAAATTATCCGAATCCCAAACCATTCAGTGGGTAGTTCCCTCTGCTCATCCACGATTTGCACGCAACCAAGCCAAGTTAAGTTCATTCACTTATACCAGTATATTCCACTATAACTGGCGAATGTTGGCACATGTCAAGACGCCCCAACGACATATCCCCCCAACTAAGGAAAACCCTCTCGGGAAAGTGGTTCCTTTATGGGGGGATATCGATGGTGGAAGCTGTTCCAACTTGTTAAAAGTTATAACTCAAAAAGGTACCTCTTGCAATAGGGAGTGTGGGGAATTCAATCCCTATCTTGGAGGATTGTGTAGTAATTAATGTATTTTTTCGAATGTTTGACGTTTGAATTCCCATGAAAAAGCTGATGATCAACTCCTCTGGCGATTCTGGATGCTTAAATCCATATGTGTCATGGTTACCCGTTACCGGTGTCATCAAACGTGGCTGGAAAATCCCCGAACTCAATGGAGGTTTTGATGGGAAATTCATCTACAAATCCTGGATTTTCCAGCCACCCGCCCCATCCCGGCACTTCGAAAGTTAGCGTACCAATTCCGAAATTGATCATTCCAGTGTCTAACGGTGACGCCGCAAGGAGGTCGTTGTAATTTAGCCAGAGTCTTCAAAATAATGTGCATATATATATATATATATTTATTTATTTATTTATAAATATTCATTTATTTATGTATCTGTGTGAGTGATAGTTTGACTATAATTAAATCATACATATATCAATATAAAATATTATAAAATAATATAAACTATCACTCCATTCCTATTTACCCAATGCTTACCTCCCTGCACCAAGTCACCCCCAACTGGGCGCCTCCCTCAGCGCCAACCTGGGCCGCCCCGGGCGTGGCCGGCACGGCACGTGGCCGGCGCGGCGCAGGACTTCCAGGGCGAAGCTGCCAAGGATGTGATCGGGGGAATCGACCACCTGGTGGGCCACTGGTGATTTTTACTTGGGATACTAATGATGGTTAATGATGGTTAGTAATGGCTAATCATGGTTAATCATTAATGGCTAATCATGGTTAATCATGGTCAATCATGGTTGATAATGGCTAATCATGGTTGACAAAATGTTGAACCATGGTCAAGAATTGGAATAGTGTGGGTAAAACAATATCATACACAGCCCTTTAATTCTGGGAATGGTAAACATACCAGCTATAAAAATGGTGATGGCTGGGGGATGGTTTATGAAATTGTTTTTGTAGCCTCTTCCAGTGACTTCAGTGGTCAGACTGCTCCGGGTTGTTTTTCTCTTGTCGTTTCTGAATGGGCGCAAGTGCCCAAATTTTGCTGTTTTCTACTTGGGCGAAAAAAGGTTTACAAAAGCCTCTGGCCGGATGTCAATGCTTTTCCGGAGACTGCGGCCAGAAGTTGGCAGGCAGAAGGCGAACTCCACCTGTCCTCTTTGAGGTGCATCTGCTGTAGATTTCTTGGGCTGATGACCGTCGGTCCCAGAATTCTTTGCCCGTGCCGGCTCTGACGAAAGTCTGAGCCCGTGGAAGTAGGGAAAACCTATCTGCAGCGCGGAGTATATGATTTTGTAGCCTAGCATTAAGGTTGATGACTGGGTTCACTAGGGCAATTTGTTTGTGGAAAATAACCATTAGTTGACAACAAAAGGTTGAGCATTTTGTCTATGCTGATGAAAGACGGCTTTAAAAAGTGGAATCGACCTCGTGGCAGCTGTGCTTGGGCAAAGTTAAAACATATCATAACATATCTTTACGAGCAATTGATGGCTAACACGTGGAATTATAAAACCAACAAGACTTAGGATAGTTAGGATGAATGGATATACCATAGCCAACTTATGTTTGTTTGGCGAAGGGGATCCACCAAATATCTACGGAAATGGATTTGTCCAGCAAATTTACCAACAAATATCAAGAAACTTGGTGTTTGATAACCGGCACATCTGGCTAGCATTGGCTAGCTGGAAATCCTCTATTTGTAGATGAGCTTCTGATATTTCTCCATGAAACATTCCGATTTCCCAGCTCGCCAGGGTGAATCAACAAGCAGTGGCTTCACTTTTTTAAATAAGAGAAGGTCACATCACTTCATATCCCGGATCATATCCCGGATCATTCTTTAAGGAAAGAGATCACCCTTCGGCAAAAATATGTAAACATTGATTTAAACAAATGCATATGGGAATATATAGAGGTGACATCATTGATTTTCTTGACCCCGATGGTCCCTAAGCTTCACAACGATCATCCCCTGACCAAGCTGACCAAGTTGGCTATGAGATGGTGGGGGTCAAACCAAAATATGGTCGCCTCAAAATTGGATGGGACCATAGAATTGTGATGAATCTAGGTGGATGATGTTGGATGATGTTGGATGGTTATAAATCAAATATTCTGAAAAAGGGATCTCAGGGCCTGACATGAATTGACATGGACTCATGCTGAAACCATGACCCAACATCTGGCCTGAGCCAAGTGCCTGGGCATGCGCGGCTGGCCCCCAAAATCGCTTGTGTACAATTCGTCAGCTGGGATGATTTGGGATCATATAACAGCCCTTGAATCATCGTTCCAACTTATCGTCATTGTGGTCATCATCATCGTCATCGTCGTCGTCATCATCGTCAACCAGATTCAGGATGTCAGCACCTTTCAGCTAGCCTTCACTGTTAGATTACCAGAGGGTAGTCTAGAAATAGAAGTCAACTACTCTACAAGGTGGTGCCTTACAGTTACAAGTTGGTGTATCACAGATATCACCCTATATCACCCTCATCAAACTCGAGATTTTCCACTACATTCACCTAGCACATCCCACCAGTTCCCGCCAATGTCCACACTTTCGGACAAGGCGCGCCAACACGTGCGGTGGCGCCTGTCCCCTGGGTCCAGCAGCCAAAAGGATGGCATAGGCTGCACCTTCTCCCACCTGACCTGCAAATGGGCAGGAAACACCACGTGGAGCATTCCCACAATGCACCCCTCGTTCTCCTGTCCTCCAAGTCCTCCCCCAAAAAAGTGGTTTGGCGCTTCGGTGCAGTGCGAAACAGGGGCCAAGGTATGAAGGCCATGAACCAAGCGAATTGGGAACTTCATGGAACTTCCTACATATTTTCGTGGAGGGCACCCCACAAGTGCTCGGGTTTTTGCTAGGTCTACTTGGGGAGCAGTCCCACATCCCAACTTTGTGGAGGTTTTCCAGTCACCCCTGGCCCACGGCACATTTTGGAATGGGCGTGTCCAAGAATGGTAGGACCTGCTGCATACATAAATGGCACAGCTCCTCCTTGGTGGCGGAAACCGACGGAAACTTCAGCTGTTCATGACTTCGCTGAATCTTGAAACCTTTCAGCAGGTCACTGCATGGAACATGAAATCCAAATCAGTAAATCCCATCAATAGATAAAATAAAGTTGTACACCTGGATTTGTTCGGGCAAATCCGAAACAATCAACAACATCTTGGACTGACTTTTCTATCTAGTTCAGGGTTCCCTTTGATGAAATGAAACAATGATTGGCGAGCCCCTGCAGGGCTCAGGGGCACTCCTGCAGTTTTTCCCTGCTTGGAATTGGGATCGTTGCGTATGTCCAGCACATGTTCCATGACATTTTTTTCAGGTCATTGCTTCTCTTCCTCATGGACACGTCCAAACAATAGAGATTCTCAATGATGATTATGATGATGAAAACCGTGCATGTACCCTCTGGTGAACTAACATAGCAATGGAAAATCACCATTCTTAATGGGAAAATCCACTATTTCTATAGCCATTTTCCATTGCTTTTTGTATGTTCACCAGAGGGTATGACTTGGCTGCCAAGTCACCCCAGTCTCCATTTCGGGGGGACCGTATGATCGATCCAAGACGAAACCAGCCGTGAACGATCGGTCAGGTTGTGTGTCATTACAGGGGGCGCTGGATATCCTATAAATATATGTTACATACACACATACATATAATCATATATATATATATATATAGAGATACAATTATATTTAGAGTATTCTACACCCCCGACAATTTCTATGTTTTATCTTTCTGGTCTTTACATATACACTCAAGAAGAAGAGTCACCCGGTGTCACCACGGTAGCATGCGACCAGGCATCTTGGTCCATTGCCCTAGCCCTTGCAGCGATCAAGCCCAAAGCCTCCAACATCTCACCCAGAGCTTCCTATGCTGCTGCCGGGCTGTCCAAGGGGGGAAACCTCAAAAAAATGCAAAATGGAAGAGTTTACCAACACGGATGAGAAGTTGACCAAGAACAATTGGGATTGGACTATCATGGACTATCAACAATTTCTTGGCACATGCAAGTTACCCAACAAAAACCGGGACTAAAACAGCAAAAAAAAAATGCAGTTAATCATCAAAAATCTGGATAACCATCAACAATTGGGCTTTAACAATAAAGAGGTGGATTTAACCACAAAACTACTAGGCGCATGAACCCTGAAAATCCATCGTTTTCTTACCGATCAACGACCGTCGACTTTTGAATCATTCTGAAAAACGGTGCATTTTTAGCCAGCAGATTTGCCATACAATTGGATTTGACGTGAAAATCTTCAGGAAAGCATGGTTGTTATCCCAGTTCTTGAGTTTTCCTGTAGGGTTTTCCCAGCAATTCTGCAACACGGAAATGCCATTTGTTGGCTCACAAGTGGCATCTCTTGGGGACCTCCAATCCAATGAATCCATAGTGAGAACTTCTGTTCCCCATCCATCATCATTCACCCAAACTATTCAGCTGCTCCTGTTCTCCATGAATCATTTTCCGTAAAAAAATCCATTCATCATCACATGGCCAGTTTCAGATACACGAATTACAAAAACAGAAACTAAAAGTTAGCTGGTTGTAGAAACTCCTGTTTGAGGCAAACATTAGAACGTATCAAACTACCTCTTTACCATCGTCATCGTCATCGTCATCATCATCATCATCATCATGATCATCATCACCATCACCATCATCACAATCACAATCACCACCAAAATGTTTTTCAAATCATCTCACATTCATAATCATCCAGCGTGCAATAAATAACACATATTGGGCATTCAACGGCATAAATTGTGGAGGCCCTGGGAAATTGCATCTTACCCCATCCGGCCACCTTGAGGCCCACATTGGAAGGTACTTTATATTAGGGGGAGTGGATTTCCATTGATGGTTGTTGGTTCAATCGAATTGGTTGTTGATAGATCCTGGGTGAAGCTTGCTATCCTTGCTACTGCAAAGCCCTGCATCACAACCATCAAAATCATCAAAGAGAATTCCCGTATCCAAACAACATCCACCATCATCAAACAAGTTAATCCCATCCCCCTAATACTAAAACACCTTTTCAGAAAGCATGTTTTTTTGTTGGGGATATCCATATATTTGGGACCATAGTATTAAGGGCTACTTCGTATTAAGGGGATGGGACTTTTAAGCTAAACTGGCTGCATGGCTTCAACGGATCTTCCAACGGCTCATCTCCAGTTCGGGGGGATGGTTTTCATACAAAAAGCTATTGAAAATGGCCATAGAAATAGTGGATTTACCCATGAAAAATGGTGGATCTTTCTATAGCTATGTTAAATTACCAGAGGGTATCTCATAGAGCTGAATATCATGTGGAAACGGCTTAAAGTATCTTAAAGTCTTCACTTAAGTGAATCGTCGATCATCATCACAACTGACAACACGTATAAACACACTTCCTATTACCGGTCGACTAAGCTAACCCCTGGCCCATCCAAGCTCTCTGTTACGGCAACTCGTCAGTCATGATATCAAGCATATTACAATACAGAGGTAAACTATATAATGTCGTTATCGTAATGTATATGTGTAAATATATATATATATATATATTATGTGTGTGTGTGCGCCAATGAGACCATTATTCGTTAAAAACCTATTTGTTGGTATATATGCCCATTGCTATTTTTTTTCAAACAACATAAAGCTCACCATCGGACCATCGCCATCAAAATGTTGATGAGAAAATCGACTTGTTGACTTGTTCATTTAGTCATATATATATATATTTATCTATGATTATTTATGTATATATATATATATATATGTATAAATATAGCTCAGTTATATCCCCATGAATATCCATGATTTTTTGGTTAAATCATGCTAAATCACTGGATCTTCCCTAAGTTTCTCCAGTTATGATAGTTGTGCTTGGTCTTCAAATGGTGTATTGATATTCCCATTGGTCTTAACATCAAACTAATCATCACCATCAAAATCTTCATGACACCAGAAATTGTTCTACAGTTTTTTGGTCAGAATTATTTGGATATATATATATATATATACATTATTTTATAATGCAGTGAAAAAACATCTGAAACACAATCATCAATATCTTCCAGGTTTATCCAGTTATGTTTGGGTTTTTTGGTGTATACCTTCATGGGTCTCAAAAAAAATATTCATCACCATCAAAGTCTTCTCCATTTGGTGAAATCACCAGAAACAGTTTTAAAAAATGAGTCATATATCATATACCCATGTCATTCCATTAATGTGGTAAATCAACTAAATCATCTGAAAAAAAACAGGTCATCATTTGGTGAGCCACTAATTTTAAATTATCCCTGGGGAATAGCTGTTGTCGTACGCCATTTAAAGGGATTATTCATGATGATTCCCCATCTGAAAAATCACCTATTTGACAAATCTTCTTTAGTTGAATCATCAGGAATAGGACAAAAATGTCGCCATCAATATCTTCATCTGTAATTAATATATTGAAGTATACAATGTGGTAAACCTAATGCCATAAACATCATATATAAACCACCCCTGAAATCACCATATTTTTATGGCTTGCATTCCAACCATGCCCAAATGGGAGTTGTTTATGGCATCAACATCATCCACCAAAGTTAAATCATCAAAAACAGGTAAGAAACATCACCGGGTAAATCAAAAATAATTCACCAACCTGAAATAAGATGAAATAAGGTCATCTGGGGATAGTTACCCCTACTAACTACTAACCATCATTCCAGTGAGGTCGCAGTGAGGTCGTTAAAATTTACCCAGATAGATAGATAGATAGATAGATAGATAGATAGACAGATAGATAGACAGACTGATAGACTCTCTCTCTCACCATCAAAAATCCTCCAAGTTTCGGTGCAGAACTCCTCCCGCAAGGCCTCCCCCAATGCCCGGATCGTCTGCGGCTCCGGCCGCGCGCATTCGCCCAGCACGAAGGCGCTGAAGCGCCGCAGCCGCGAGGTCTGGGGCAGATCTGCCAGGTGCACCGGCACGGACTGGTGGCTCTTCCTTGGGCGCGTTGCGCTGTAAAACAACGGGAGATGTGTTGAAAGATGTTGAAAAGATGGGAAAATCCATAGAAACTCCATTCAAAAATCAGATGTCATGGCTTTGATGGCTTTGATCATGATTTCATTCTGGAAAAAATAGATATTTTCTGATGGAAAAAAACAATGGATGTTTTTGTGAACTCCACCAATGTGGAAAGTCCCAGCGTCAACAGCCGCAGCACGTGATGCGCTGCCTCGGGGCCACTGGCAACCAAGCCATAGGCGGCTGCACGGCAGGTGGCTTCTGAGCCCTCCAGCAGGGCACAAGTCAGGGCCTGACGTGCACCGATTTTTCTGTATTCATGGGATAGATATGTGACTATGTGGATAGTAATGGATTTTTATATCTATGGAATCTATGGGCTAGGAAACTACAGTAACTACAGCGTAGCGAAAAAGAGGTGATGGTGAAGTCACATGAAGTCACTGTGGTTCTCCTTGTCTCATGTGATTTGGGTGATTTGGGGGACTTACCATGGTAGTTAAGCTCCCAGATATAGGCTCGCCAGTGGGTTTCACCTCCAAACCACGGCAAAATGGAAAAAGAGAGAGTCATTTTTCTTTGATCCTCCCAGAAAATTATAGAAAACGATCATCAAGTGCATAATTCTGGGTAAATTATAATATTTCACTAACCTGAATTAAGGCTATTTGGGGATGATTTCCCTTACTAACCATGATTTCCAGTGAGGTCGCAGTGAGGTCGTTATAATTTACCCAGATAATTGTACCATCTTTTGCACAGCAAACTCCGGGTCTTTTTCTTCAGGTCTTCCCTATGCCCAAGACATGTCGTGCCTGTCGTGCACCAACCTGTCCAAGGCTGTAGGCAGCTGCTAAGCCTTGGACGGATGGTAGGGAGAGGTGACCGGGTCACCATACTAATATACACTAGGCAATGCCATAAAAACAAATATATATATATATATATATATACGTGTGCGTGTTTTCTAGCCCCCCCCCAAAACCTACCTTTGCCTGCTTGTAATGCTACACTGCAACTCTTTTGGAACTATCATTGTTCCCAGTGAATACTGCATAGACTAAGAGAGTTTTCTTATTTCAGTTATGCTGTGCCCTTTCAAGTCACGTTTCTTCAGAAGGGGCACTGTCAATCTCACAAAGGTAGCATTTGTGATATTTTTGTTTAAGCAAAGACGGCTCACATTTGTTCATTTCAAGTATACACAATTTACTGTCAAAACATTAGGGCATACTGACTCTAGAAAGCACAATGTAGCAGTACTTGTGCCACATGTGCAGCATGTTCTTTTAAATATCCAACTTGTTTTTCAACAAATATAGTGTCACTTAGAGAAAAACCCGTATGTTCTTCAAATTAATGGCTACATTTCTGAAGATAGTCTTATTTGATTTGAAGAGATACTACTGCATTTGATTGGAAGATGCCTTGTATGTTGCAGGGACTGTTTGTGCAACGTGTTTCTTCCTTCCAGAAGTATTGTACTTAGTACGTTATGGAATGGGTCTGTGAAATTAAGAATGCATATTTACATGTTGGAAAAAACACTGATTGATCGAAATGAAGAGATATATTTTCAAGAGAAGTGGTTTTCTGCAAAGGAATGCTACCTATTGAAAAGGAATACTATTTTGGCTTAAGGAATGCTACACCCTTTGAAGGAAAGTGTCTGTTTGTAAAGCCTGCTCTTGTCACTTAGAATTGGTTCTTCAAGAGAAGGATGCATGTTTCATAATCTCTTGTAGTCATTTACAGTGTTTTCACTGCCTTTTTCAGGTTTGGGGAAAAGACCCAAAGTTGAATGATCTTTTTCATGTGGGTTGAATCACTACTTAAGGAAAACTTTGCAGAGAGGTTGAGGGACTTGGAGGTACGTAAATGAATGTAAATTATACTTAAGCATAGTTTGGAAGGGGTACGAACTAAGATTGCAAGAATTGTACTTAGGCATTCTGCAGCCTGAAGGAATGCCTTCAGAATGCATTCTTCCCCAAAACTAAGATCCAAGATCCAAGAGTTGCGGAGAAGTCTTGTGCAAATCTTGGATTTGGGATTTGCCAGAATACCCTTACCAATCCCTATCAAAATTCTTTAGGAATCCAAGATTTTGATCAGGAGTCTTGTGGGAACCTTGGATCCTGGATCTTGGTTTTTGCAAAGAATGCATTCTGAATGCATTCCTTCAAAATGCAGAATGCCTTAAGTACAAGGAAGAATCAAAATCAACATTCTGCTTACTACCCTCTGTGTGTGTATTCACACATATGTATATATATATATAATTAAATAATTATATATATATATATGGTACCCCCTAGAGGGAAAACCAATACCCAAGCCCAAAACTCTCCAAAATTGTCCATTTAAAACCATTCCAAAAAATAGACACGAAACACCGCAAATACCAGTAAAAGTGATGAGAAGGCAAAGGTAGGTTTTTTTTGGGGGGGTACCATATATATATATAGATATAGATATAAGTTATGCATCTATTTGTTGATCTATTTATTTATGTATATTCACATTCACTATGCGTATTCTATATATATATGTATAATGTTTCATATTTATATGTTGATTGAGGTAGACTTGTAGCAGGGGTGCTACTGTGTGATGTTTCTATATGCATCACCAGCTCGCTTTGAAATGCTATGGGACCAGCTACCGTCCAGCTCATGGAGTCCCAAACATGTGCATATCTATACACAATCTGACATTCCTCAATGTATGGCTCAACTACTCAAACATGACAAGCTGGAAACTCCCCTGTAAATGAAGGTTTTATTGGGAAAACCTATTATAAATGCATGATTTTCGAGCAAACCAGGTTGAATTACCAGAGTCTATCCCCATGGTTGGTAAAATCCCACATACCCTCTGGTAAACTAACATAGCTATTGAAAATGGCCATTTATAGTGAGTTTTCCCATTGAAAATGGTGATTTTCCATAGCTTTTTGTATGTTTACCAGAGGGTACCCTCTGGTAAATTAACATAGACCCTGGCAGTCATCGGGGTTGGAAGACTAGTTTCCACTAAAAATTGGTGATTTTCCATCAAAAATTGGTGATTCACTATGGAAAATCACCATTTTTCATAGGTAAACCCAGGTAAACCATCTATAACTGGGCCATTTTCCGCTATTTTGACATCACCAGAGGCGAAATCCCCATGGAAATCCACCATGACTCGCCGCTCGCCGTGCCACGTTCCACCTCGCTGGAGCTCCGTTGCAACTCCTCCAGCCGTCGTGCGCGCTCGGACAGAGACATCGACGCCTTGGCGGCGCCGGTCCCGGCCATCCAAGCGCTGATGTCCTGACGTGATTTGAACGTCAAAAATACCATAGGAAAATGGAGGTTTAACCAAACAACGGGGGGATTAGTGGAAAATCACCATTTTTAATAGGAAAACCATAGGAAAATGGAGGTTTACCCTCTGGTAAACATACAAAAAGCTATGGAAAATCACCATTTTTCATGGGAAAATCATGGAAAATCCACTATAAATATCTATAAATGATCATTTTCAATAGCTATGTTAAATTACCGGAGGGTAGAGGGAACCTCCCAAAGAAACACTGATTGGTGGTAGTTTCAACCCGTCTGAAAAATGATGGAGTGAGTAACAGTTGGGATGATCATTCCCAATATATATATATATATATGTGGGAAAAATAAAAGCCATGTTCCAAACCACCAACCAGAACATCAAAAAACGACAACTGTTTATCGCCATTTCGAGTGAACATCCCAGGCGATCCTTGACGATGGGATCCAGCTGCACGTTGGGCGGCAACTTCCAGCTGGGGTGGTTCACCACCATCCGCGATGAACACGTCTGGGACGGAGATGGCTCCACGGTCCTCAAAAACCTCAAAGACTTCAGCGAAAACTGGGGCACCAGTGGTCCCGAAATTGGGTATGTCATGTCATTTCATGTCATCTCATGTCATTTCATGTCATTTCATGTCATTTCATGTCATTTCATGTCAGCTCATGTCATTTTATGTCATTTCATGTCATGTCGTTCCATGTCATTTCATGTCATGTCATGTCATTTCATGTCATCTCATGTCATGTCATCTCATGTCATTTCATCTCATGTCATTTCATGCCATTTCATGTCATGTCATGTCATGTCATCTCATGTCATGTCATCTCATGTCATTTCATTTCATGTCATTTCATGTCATTTCATATGATCTCATCTCATGTCATGTCATCTCATGTCATTTCATTTCATGTCATTTCATGTCATTTCATATGATCTCATCTCATGTCATGTCATCTCATGTCATTTCATGTCATTTCATATGATCTCATCTCATGTCATGTCATTTCATGTCATCTCATGTCATCTCATGTCATGTCATCTGATGTCATTTCATCTCAGGCCATTTCATGTCATGTCATGTCATGTCATCTCATGTCATGTCATTTCATGTCATTTCATGTCATCTCATGTCATTTTATGTCATTTCATGTCATGTCGTTCCATGTCATTTCATGTCATGTCATGTCATGTCATTTCATGTCATCTCATGTCATCTCATGTCATGTCATCTGATGTCATTTCATCTCAGGCCATTTCATGTCATGTCATGTCATGTCATCTCATGTCATGTCATCTCATGTCAGTTCATGTCATTTCACTTCGTTCCATGTCATTTCATTTCCTCATGTCATTTCATGTCATGTTGTTCCATGTCATTTCATGTCATCTCATATCATGTGATTTATGTCATTTCATGACATCTCGTGTCATATCATTTCATGTTATCTCATGTCATGTCATTTTATGTCCTTTTTTTTTGTTGTACATTGTTCTAGCACCAAACCAGCCATTTTGATCCGTTTTGGGTTGAAATGGGATCGACATTGGTTGGGGTGCCCGTCCAAGACGTCGTAAACTCGCACGAGTCGTCACGGTCGCAGGTCCATCGAGTCCATCATCTGTCCTTTTCCAGTCATCGACCCCGCTGATCTTCAGGTACCCTCTGGTAAACATACAAAAAGCTATGGAAAATCACCATTTTTAATGGGTAAATCAACTATAAATGGCCATTTCCAATAGCTACGTTAAATTGCCAGAGGGTACTTCCCCTCACATTTTGAGTGATTTTGATGGCTTTAGGACTCAAATTTTGGGGTTTTCAATGGTCCAGGCATTCCCATGGCATTCCCATGGTCCACCAGTCAGCAAACGTTGCCATCGAGAAACTGAAACTTCACCAAGAATCGCACGGGAGCAGTACCTCGATCAACGGTCGAATTTGGCAAAAAAAATGAAAGTCAAATGACTGATTTTACCCACCATAGTGATATAGAAATAACTTATTTTACCCACCATATTGATATAGAAATGACTGATTTTACCCACCATAGTGATATAGAAATAACTGATTTTACCCACCATATTGACATAGAAATGACTGATTTTACCTACTACCCACCATAGTGATATAGAAATAACTTATTTTACCCACCATATTGATATAGAAATGACTGATTTTACCCACCATAGTGATATAGAAATAACTGATTTTACCCACCCATAGTGATATAGAAATGACCGATTTATACTGATTTTACCCACCATAGTGATATAGAAACATGAACCCAGGATAACCCAGGGATCCAAGGGATAAAATGAATGGATAATATTGGAGCCTACGGCCCCTCGAAAGGAATAATAATATTCCCAATAGACAATAGATTCCCCAAATAGATCCAAATAGTGGGTTAACCAACATTGGGACAAGAAAAACACTTCTTCAGCAAATACCAGTACAGGTCATGTGTGGTAGTTTGGGGTCTTCGTGTGCAGGAATTTCATCAAAACATATAAAAACCATTCAAGACCAAATTCAAAAAGATTCTTCGGTGGTGTTCTCCAGGGATGGTAGTGCCATCTGCCCTTGAAGTTTATTGGGGATCTGAACACTATTGAACACTCCTTATTTATTAAACACCTTCCAGAAACCATGAGGGGATTTACGCATATTCGGGCGCATTTAGACATGTTTAATATATATATATAAATATAACTATATATATATAATTATATAATTATGATTAATTATGTATATATGGGCATGGGATTAGCTCAATGTGATGCATTGCAAGCCTGCAAAAAGGCTGCGAACGCATGAATGAAAGCGTGCGAAAACAGTCTGGAAAAAGGAGACATCTTGGGGTACCTTCAAAGGCCAGCCACGGGAATTCCATACCTACACATACCTACGCCAGATCCGAAGTGTTGAGCGAGGTGCCATTCAAACGGCAACTGGCTCGATGGAAGAGGTCGTAGTGCATCAGAACACAACCTGAGCGACGCTCCAAAGATCCGGGCGAAGACACAGCTGAGGGTGGGAAAGCCCTGAAACAACCTGCCCCTGGATCGCTTTTTTGCGGGTGGTGCAAATACTAAAAATTACCAAAATGGACCAAAGCTGTTGATGTTCGCATGCAACACCAAGCCCCACTGCCTACAATTTACTGGGGCGGGAGAATCTGTGTGCATCGTTTACTTGGAGACAAGGCACTTCCGGCAGGCACTGTGAGAGCTAAGTCTTCAACCAGACCAGCATATTGCGCCTGTTCAGATGTCGGCATGGTGCGGCCATAGTACAGTAATTCCCTTTTAAAACCACTTGAAAAATGGTGAAAAACATGAGAGACAATTGGATCTAAGGCGTTTTTTCAAAGGGTGTGCGACTCCCGTAGAGGCAGTCGCAAAAGCCATGGAAAGGAACAAAGTAATTACAAAGCATTGTTAGTCAGATCAGGAGCTAAGTAGTTGGACTTTGCTTCATTCAGCACCCCTGTTTGGTACTGCACGTTGCCATGCGGAAGGAACATGCTCTGCTCTTGGGAGTTTGGCAGTAGGATATCCTCCCCGCACTCCTCGGTTTGTCAAAAACCGTCGAACCTCCCAACCTCCATTTCTTTCACCCCATTTCACCCCTCATCTTTTCATATGTTCGAAATATTTTTCTATGTTCTCATGTGGCTATGAGTCAAATCCCTGGCACCTTAGGTACCCTAAAATGGCTACTGTAATAGATGTTTATTCCTCCAAGTATGTGTACTCAGTGTACTCATGAAAACAGCTTTTCACCCATCCCCAGGTGTCACTTCACCTGTGGTGCGGTAGTTTTTTTTCGCTAGAATCACAACTGTCCCTATATAGGATTATCAAATAATTCGCCATATATTTTTTGGCAAATCATCACCAGTAATCCCCATGATAGTAGTACATATCATAGTAGTACATATATAATAGTCCCCATAATAGTCACCATTCGAATATTATTATAGTAGTACATATTTTTTCACCATGAATCCCCATTAATCCTATAACATCATATACACTATATTACATATAATATTATAATATTAATCACCATTAATCCCCATTAATCCCCTTAAAATCATCCACCAACCAGGGCCCCAAGCAGGGTCCCAAGGTTCCATATGCTCGGTATCTTTGGTCCAGTACTGCGATCCAGATAAGATGCAGGTAGGCCCCATGGAGAGCACCGTCTCCTGTGGATAGTACAGCAGCATGCACCATCCTTGGATGCCAAGTTGCTGATTTGGGCCCCAAGAAATCATCAAATGTCCCCATTGAACATCACCCAACCATTAGGTATATGGTCTATAATGGCTACTATAAGGTGATGTCCAATATTCCCAAAATGGGACAGTTACCAACCCCTGAGAAATACCAGCTTAAATTACTGTAACATATGGATAACATATATGACAATTCACCTAATTTACAGATTTTTTTTCTGAAAACCATAGCTGCTAAGCCATATCGATGTAGATCTATGTTAACTTGCGGGATTCTAGAATATCTCATAAAAGTATGGTCATGCCTTTGAGATTTGACTCGTCATATGTTCAAAGCCTCCCCCAAAAGAAAGTCAAACATGGGTGAGCCTTAATGTTTGCAGCCCCAACTCTTTCAATGGGCCCATTCAAACCCAAACTACCAAACCATCCCACATAACCAATATATAGATTCCATATCACCGATATCATGTTAGTATCATAGAATTGGATGGGAAAATTTTAACCGGAAACTCTGGAAACCCCAAACAATTTCATGGTAAAAACCATGGTTTCCGGTGTAAATATGTTCCCAACAAAACCAATCCATTGATACTTTTTGTCAATTTCCAGCCCTTTTCGGAAACGGATCCTCCGCCCTTTTCGGTCCAAAAGACGGGGCCGATGCTTCCGGATCTTGCGAAGGCCCCAGTAAGAATCCTTGTGCCACATCTGACTGGCTGCACCGGAGACCTGCACAGATCGGATTTTTTTTAGGGCTGATTTCATCTGGTTAATAGTGGTTAATATATATATATATATATATATGGATATGTATATTTTTTTATTGCTCTCTGCTCGTGACATGTCTGTCGCCTGCATGCTGCACCTGCCAAAAACTTCACATATTGTGAAGCAGCTGATGCTATGTCATCTAATTGGCCTCAACTTGTTTCCATTCATCGCATTTGGATGTGTACTGAAAGGAGGCAAAATGACTAAACTGCTCTTCCAATATGGTGATGGAAATCCGCTGCCATTTGTTGGAATAGGTCCATGTGGTAAGGATCATGGATTTGAGACAAAGCCGCGATCGCGTTGTCTAAGCCATCTGGGATCTGCTCGAAACCCTGTTGATGGATGGTGTCATAGTGCTCCAGATGACATTCTGCAATGCTCTGTGAAAGCAACACCGGATAGACCTTCGCTCGTGCAGTTTTCCAACCATTTTGATCTTTACCACCGAGAAATTCAGTGGGCTTCCATCCCTTCTGATATCGGCCATAAATTTTTGCTGCAAAATTGCCCATCCTGGCCAGCAACATAGTGGTGGGTTTTGGCGCACATTGCCCTAACGGGCCTTGAAGAAATGTGATAGAGTCAAAAGAAGGCCCTTTCAACATCCAACGTACAAAGCCTGACATCCATACACACCACTTTTCATTGCTGTCCCACTCTCCTTTTGGGTGTTCCAATGAAACACTCCCTCCAAAAGCGTAAACCAACAAGAGCAATTTCAGCGTTTCCCACATGAGAATCGACCCAACATGGCACTGGAGGAGCTCTTTCAAGGAAATGTGGCAACGTCCCCAGGGCATTGATTGGTCTCTTAAAGGCTGCGGACACATTTGTCCTGGGATATCAAGCCATCTGGCCATGCTGTATGTCTCGCACGGCGGTCCACCATGTGCACCGACAACTCTTCTAGCCTGAATCAGTCGGAACCACTTGTTGTGGTCAAGCACGTTTCCGTGCTCTTTGCTGACTGCAAGATCCACAGCAAGAGGCACCACTCGATTATCCCATTGCATCCACGAAGAGATGTCGCCAAAACGGCGATGGCCGCTGAAAAGGACCAAAAAGAAAAGCTGACCTTCAGAAAGTGAACGTGGTATCCAATCAAAGTTTGGTTCCCACATAGCAGCCTCTTTCTTGATCTTTTCTTCCATCCTGGAGACATCTCTGCAAACATTTGCCACCTCCCACTTTGTACCGGCTCGCTGGGTGATAGCACGACCACCCCGCCCAGGTGGCAACAAACCAAAACTGGCCCATGCCTGCAGCTCATCAGGTGTTGGCTCCGCGTAGATATCACCATCAAAAACTTGCTGTTGGAGAGATGATTTCATCTCCTCTTGGCTAGCAATTCTCCAACTCCTCTTGGCATGATCATGCAGTGCATGCACCTGATGTAGGGCTTGTCCTGCAGTGCGATCATGATCATCCAGCGCCCCGGCTTGCTCACTCGTCAGAGGAGCGAACCTGCGGAGATGAAAAAGCCAGCATTTTCCTTTTCCAACATGCAAATGTGTCAACAACCTTGCACGAGTGTGAAAAAGCTTTCCACATGCACGACAAACCCCGTCAACAACGAATCGTCTCAATGCAATCCTCTTTTGGTGAACTCTTTGTTCATGAGTGGCCAGAGCAGCACCATTTTTGAAACATTTCCCACAGTCGCCACACTGCACACATGAAGGTTCTTCAACAGCTTCATCCATATGCCGTCGCTTTGTCCACCCCATTTCTGAGCAGATCTCCTCCATAAATGCCTTGTGATCTTTCAGACCGCAGTAAGTTTTCAACCGTACCTGGTGAGCACGCTCCACTTTTTTGACATTGGACTTTATCTCTTTAGCTACCTCATGGAAAATGTCCCACGTTGATCGCTCAGTCAGCTCAAGCAGCTCATCTGGAAATGCATTTCTTCCAATCTGGGCTTGTGCCCAACGCAAGCTTTTCAGTACTCCATAGAGCCACGAAGCACAACCAGCTTGCTTGTAGTTTTGGAGAATGGCAGTAATGATGTAGTGATCATTGACCTGTAGAATATGGACCAACAATCTCAGCCTTTCCAGATAAAGAGCTTCAATAGGCATGGGGCCCTCCATTTGCCTCGCCAACTCATAGGTCTCCTTGTGTGGAACTTCACCATGCTCGTTTCGTCTTTCAAGCATAGCGTATGTTGAGTGAACAACAGCATGCCATGCTTCTGCTTCTGCTTGGGTGAGATCGAACCACGTTGCGCTGTGCAATTTGATGACAGACATACCCATGCTGCGTACCAGCAACCTGCGCTTGTCAATGTCAATCCTTGGATTTGAAAGCACAGCCTTCAAAGGAGCCAACTTCTGACGCATGGCTTCCCCTCTTGTCTTGATCTCAGGGATCTTGGATCCATATGGGACAATGATCCCTCCCAAGTGTTTGTAAAAACCAACCACCGGTATTTTCATCATTCCATGGTGTTCCGACAAAACGTCCAAGGTGTCAGCATGGCACTTCTCAAAATCCTGCCTGCACTTGGTTGCGTTCTTACCTCTGAACTCAAACATGACAGCAGTCTTCGCTTTGCCAACTGAGAGACTCAAGCCATGTTCCGTCATGACATCAATGATGATGGAGAGAAGTTGTGCTGTGTTTGAAACCACCTTTGACGCACAAGCCATGACTGATAACGCCAGGTCATCAACCCATGCCACAAAACTTGTGCTCCGACCATCCTCCGTGTCAAAGCATAGTTGAAGGCCCGCACTCTCTGCACGCTCCATGACAACCTGTAAGACCTGCCTCAATGCAAAGCCGAAAAGTATGTCGGCACAGGGGTCTCCTGGCCTTGTGCCCATCCTGGGCGCCCTGATTGTGGAGGAGTTGGGCACCAAGAACCATGTCTGTGCTAGGTTCGAGGACACTTGTCCCGAAATGACATCAGAGCCGGTCGCTCTACTGATCAGATCGGCCCCATGTACGTTCTCCAGGAACTGCTGCAGAGCCGACGAAGGGAGTTTGAGCTCCTGAAATATGTTGACCAGAGATTCTGTTGTACCATTGAAATTGGCCAAAAGAGGTTTTGCCACCCTGTAAAAAGCTGATCTGATGTCAACGTAGATGAGGCCTAAAGAGGATTTTTGTGAAGCAGCGTTCGATTGCCAGATGCGTAGCATCAAGTGCAGTGGGCTAATGCCAACACCTTTTCTGCCCCCGCACTGCAGAGGCGCTGCGACACGCTCCAACCCACAAATCAGTTTGCTTCGCCACGCTTTCGACAAAGCTCTGGACAGAGTAGGTTCCAAAAGAATCGCCCTGTAACCCTCCATCTGTGACGGGTGACCCTTCCCTTTCCATAATGGCAACAACCATCCTCCGGACATCTCAGGCATGCCTTGCTTCCTCACTGCAGACTTCATGAGGAGAGGAAAAATTCTCATTGCATTTTCTGTGAGACCTGTGTGCCACAGCTCAGCCCCCAAACCATCAACTCCAGTGGCTTTTTGGTCGCTAAGAGCCATGAGACAGCTTTCCAGGTCGTAAAAGGTCGGGATGTTGTGGAGCTCCAATGGGTGGATCGTTGTACTGCTTGGGACAGAGCGCTTCATGAGATCTTGAAAGGAAATCTCTTCCGCTAATTCAATTTCAGCGAACTGCTCCTCCCATGCTGCTGCAACATCACCTCTTGAACTCCTCCACTGCCCACGAGCATCTCGCAATCCTGCCAATGGCTTGTGGTGTCGTCCTTTCTTTTTGTCAATCATTTTCTTTGGTTTTAAAATCTTGTAGATCTGTGATGCTGTCGCATGTTGAAGGGATGTGACTTGAGAATCCAGTTGTGAGGAGACCCATCTTTTCCAGTCCTCTCTCTTTTGTTTCCTGAAGTCGACATCCACTTTGCATCGTTGCTCCAGAATCACCGCTTCTTGCATACATCTCAGATGCGCAGAAAGCTCCCAATTCTGCGCTTCTTGTGGGGAAATCTTTGCTTGACGCCATGTCTGGAACACCAACTTCATTGCTTCCAGGTTGTTACACCTCTGCAATTCCCTATGTTGCTGTCGCAAATCTTTCCGCCGACAAACCATGTCCCAAGCAGCCGGTGAAAAATAAAGCTGTCTCTGCTGTCTTTTGCCCTTCGGAAACTCATGCGCTGCTTTGTCTTGGACATAATTTCTGAGATTCGACCAATGATCATTGACATCTTGCTTCCAACTGCAAAGGGGAAAAGAATGCAACATGCCGGAATGCCCAGTGAGTTTGTTGCTTCTTGCCTTTTTTCTGTTGTACAGAGGTTTTCTGATCTTCATGTGGTCGTGTTGGAAACTGGTCACCAATCCCAATTCCAAAACCAGAGCTCTGTGATCACGGTCGCCATTGAGTACATCGATACCATCATGAACATATGAAGCAACCACAGCATTCATCTGTTCGTTGGAGACTGCAATGTAATCCAACCTGCTCTTCGACCCTCTACTTCCACAAAAGGTCCAATGTTCGCCTTGATGCAAGGTGTCCCATGTGGAGGGTATCGCCAGATCAAACTGCTCACAACATCGTCTCAATCTGCTGCCCGCCAAGTCCTCAAGATCAGCGCCAGCAGAACCAATGGCATCAGTGTTAATACTTCCGATTTTGCAGTTGAAATCGCCCAAAATGATGCACGTTGAGTCTCTTTTCATCTGACGCATGACTGTCTCCAACTCATCCCACCATTCATGAATCTCATGTGTCGGGCGAGCTCTTTGAGGCGCATAGCATGTCAGGAACTCAATTGTTTTGTCACCAATATGGGCCCGCACTGCCATCAACCTGTGTGTGGCATACCAAACACATGCATCTTGCTGAGGGTCAAATGGCACGTCAAAAATCCGGCTGATTTCTTCTCCATTAATCCACAGCTCAACTCCACCAATCCCCGCAGAGGCAGCTCCTATGAAGCATGTGAAAGGGCCATGATGCACAGTGCGACTGCCTCTGGCTCTCCCTTCCTGAACAGCAACCACATGAATGTCCTCTTGCAGAAATTGCTGAATGATCTCATGTGTCTTGTGGGAGACACTGGTTCCTGGGAGGATCTGGGATTGTTCCAATGTGCCAACATTGACGGTGGCGACTCTCAAAACATTTCTGTGTTCTTGAACTGATTGACTTGCAGCCTTCTGATCAAGGGTGCGATCAATGGTTCCTTGAAAAGCATCTGGTGATTCATTTTGCAAGATCACACGCAAACTTGGTAACTCTTCATCGGGTGCAATTGAGAGCCAAGCCCAATGCGCTAAAGAATGGCGCAACAAGGGGCCGCATGTCAAAACAGCTTCAATAGGAGGGCTCCATCCACGTCTAACAAGTCCTGCTACTGAATCCGCAAACTCATTCCATGGTTGCCCTTCATGTGTATGAACATGCAATCCCTGTACCTTGCTGGCCTTTCTTTGCAACAATGAAACCATAACTCTGGCATCCATTTGCCTTTTTGAAATTTCTGGAGATTGTTGAATCACTCTATGAGTCCCACAACTGCCTTTGCCAACGGCTGTGGCATCAAAGTGAAAGTGAATGGCCAAATGAGGAAGGTCCCTCTTGGTGAGCATGAAATTGGCAGCTGCTATCAACGCAGTCGCTTCCGCATCCTGTGCTGTCTGCTCAGTTGGCCCAATCTCACTGTCAACCCTTCCTGCAGCATATCCAATCCGCACAAAATGTCGTTGCGATCCAACATTGCATTCACACAACACTATGAAGGACCAAGCAGCATCACCATTTTTGCAAGATCCATCAGTGAAGATATGAAACACATTCGTGGCCATTTTGGATACAGGAGTGCACCTGCATGCCGCTTGTGCTATTGGATGCAGTTGTGGTATGACCGCAAAATCTGTGCTCAAGCCAATCCATGGCCCATTCAACATGTGAGACAAGGTCAACTCCATGTCCGCAACAAGATCATCGCTAGAAACATCCTGATCTGCCCTCGTTTCCTGCTGCTGCAAAGGGAGGGAGAGAAACTGCTTCATCAACCTGCTCAACCTCAACCTTTTGATTCATAATAGCCTGACAAATCTCAGTGAATGAATCCTCGATCACATCATTTGTCTTGACCTGTCTGGACAGTTGCAAAAACGAGGTGTGCTCAATGGACTTTTCTTGCTCTTGTTGAGCAACGCCGATCAGCATTGTCAGCACATGATGTCTTTTCCACACAATGTATCGCGCTCTCAACACATCTCCCGGTCTCCAGCTTTGACGCACCTCAACGATCTTATGCCCGTTGACTGCGAGATGGGGATAAACATTCTGTGAGCGAGCATAATGGAACCAAAAGGGGAAGTCCTGGAGTGCCCCTACAATATTCGAGCCAATTTCTCCCGTAGGGACATTGATGGCCCAAAATTCATTGGCACTCTGTGGGTCCTGCTGGACGTCATCTACAGCCCACATTTGTTGGTTAACCAGAATGGGCTGCCCTTCATTCGTACCATACTTGGCAATGAAATGGAAAATAATATTCTCACTTTCGTGCATATCTTGTGTGGCGGATTGTGCAAAGACCAACCCAACATTCTCATCCCCAAATGGCCAAAGTATCCTCATCCTGTCGATCCATTCCAAATCATACAGCCAATCAGAGTCAATAATGATCTCACGATGGCCAAGAGGCCTGTTGGCTGGGGTGATGCCGTGCACATGACAAACGATGTTGATCCCTTGACCCCGCAATTCCATCAAAGAATGCGCTTGCAGAAAGAAAGCATCGACTGCAATGACATGCTCTTCCGCTTCCAAAACCTGTGAGAAAACATTTCCAATCCATGTTCTGCATAGAGTGCCATGGTCATATTCATACAGTTGCCCTTTGTCCATATGAACCGTGCCAAGTCTCACATGGCACGGTCTCAAAGCAAGAGGTGGGCAATGATGTTGAAGATTCAGCTGCGCCAGGATATCCCTGTCAGTGGTTTCTGCAGATAATCTGGTAGCATACGGATGTCGCCTAGCTCCAACATCAGAGGCTGCCTGTTCAATGACCAGCACATTCCTCAAATCTTCATTCAGTGAGTCCGGTGTGTCAACCACAACCAGAAGTGCTACTGCTCTGGCGCCAATCACATCGATCGGCTGTGGGTGGACGTTAAAAATCAATAAATCCGCATAAACAGCAAACTCCTGCCAAGTCTGTCGAATCAACTCTGGTAATGATTCCAGATGCCAAGGGTCGAACTCAATGTCACGTCTGCCTAAGTCTGTGAGACCAAAGCCATACGTGACTGCAAGCCATGGAGTATCATCCTCAGTTCGCAATTGCCTGATATGCTCCACTTCATCCTGCAGGAGTCCTTGATGTCCCTGAGCAAAATTGACAGTGTAGTGATCTTGATCCTGCTGCTGTTCATTTTCATCAATTTCTTCAATGCCATCGTCCCACCACGGATATTGATTTCCCAACGCAAGTTGGAAAGTGACAGGTTCGGCTGACATGAGAAAGGATTCATCATTTTCGTCATTCGAATCAGAGTCTGGTGCAGTGGTAGGCACATCACTTTCATCTCCAGTGTCACTGCCCCCTTCTGAATCATCCTCAATGATACGAATGCCTCCTTCAACAAATTTGTTCAAAGGGATGCAAACCTGCTCAAGATTGCTGCAAAAGTGCTCATGGCCATCCTGAACAAATCTGAGAAAACAGGATCGTGCAAGGTTTGTGCATGCTCCCTCCACTTGTGCAAAACGGAAGAAATCATTGACACTCACCCCTCGTGGAAAAAGCACAACCCTATGCTGGTAGAGTGGTGGTAGATTGCTGCTATGAAGCATCGTCCAATCGAAATCATTCAATTGTCCTTGAACCATCACCACATGAAATTTTGTTGCAGGAAGTCTCATCGGCACATTGTCAATGACCTGAAATGAAACATCCCCACCATCATCCCGGTCAAGCCAAAGAGATCTGCAATGCGTTTCAAAAGCAAGCCTGGAATGCACAAAACTTTGATCCAATTTCAAACGCCTTGATTGCACGCAAAGATGAAAACGTCCCACTGCAACAAACCATGTATCTGCAAAAATCGGCCTTACCTCCTTTGCTGGTAAGTTGCTTTGTAAACATCTCAAAGTGTCAAGAGTATCGCTGGTCCAAAATTGCTCTCCAGAATTTGCTTCACTTGCCGACCGGCCAATTCCAGTTGTCCTTGCAGCTTGCGAATGGTCTTGTCGATTCTGTTCATAGATCCCCTCATCATCATCAGTCCAGCTATGACAAGAAAGCACATGAGGAAATAAGGAGAAATCGGCAATCTGTCCATGTAAATGCCAAAGCGATCTACAGCACCTGTGGAAATTCTCCCTCAAAATGTCCACATGAATACTGCAATCCTCCTGAAAACACGTCAATGAAACACTCTTGTCAAAACGGACACTTTTGCGGCAAACTTTGGTTGGATGTGGGCGGTCGACACATCCTTTCAGGGAGCTGTGGCTAGAACATGGCTCCATAAAGCCAGTCTCCCCAAGTTTGTCATCACTCTCATAGATATCATTGGCCTGAGGATTGGGAAGATCCGAGTTACCCTTCCCACACCCTCACAAAAGGCCACGATCATATGGAGAACTGTCATCAACCTCAGAGGCTCCTGCAGCATAAAGCCACGGCTCATACTCGATGAGGTTGTTCGGTGAAACATCTGAAGTAGCAGTTGCAGAAAAATTCTGATTGCTTCTCAATTCCTCAGGACCTTCCTCCCATACGCCATGCTGATTCCAAGTGTAACGACTGTCCCACAAATAGCTCATATTCTGTCTCCAGTTGCGGAAGTCCCAATCATAACACTTTGTAGCATCAGAGCTGGACATGTGGTTGTTTTCATTCACAATCATGTCCTCTCTTCCTTGTCTTTGTCCTTGAGCTTGGCGTCTTTGAGTTCCTGAGCTTTCTGTTTGAGGTGTTGATTTGCTACCTTGGTAGGAGAGGCCGCTCCTCTGAAAGGCCTGTTGAGTGTCTTGGACAAGCCCTTGGATGTCGACCCCGACATGATCAATTCCTCTTGATCGTCTTCTTCCATTTCTTCTGTTAGGTCGACTGCTCCCACAGAGCCCTCGACCTCTATCACCTCCTGCATGCGGCTCACAGCCTCTTCTAACTTGGGTGTGTGCATGATCTCTGGTGGTTTCCAAGCTCCATCCAGCATAGACATCGAAGCTGCCGTGACCTCCCTCTTGAGATTGGCAAGCTCCTCTAGCTTCCCATTGTAGATCTCGAGCATCTCCGCTCGACAACTCTGGTAAAGCTGTGCATGTTGCTTGACTTTGTCCATGGTCTGTTCCGTGAACTTGGCCCACTCTTGATCTAAGGTTACCACCTTCTTCCCTGCTGTGGCAACCTGCGCCTTCAATTTGTTGAGGCGATTCAAATGACCATGCGTCAGTGGCTTGTTGACCACCGAGGCCTGTTGCTTGGCCAAGAGCTTCTCCATCTGAATCTGCATATCTCCTGGAAGACTCAAATTCATGTCTTTCAGTCCCTTCATATGTTCCAAGATCTTTTCCTCCTCCTGTGACAAGGCTTCTCCGTCTACCAACGATGGATCTGGCTGGACCACCATCTGAACATGTTGCTCGCTGGCACCAGGTCCATCTGTGATCTCCGTCTTCTTGTTGGTAGCCCTGCTCGAAGGCGTCGTTGGAATCCATGGGGCGTTTGTAGGAAAAACGTTCCAATTCGACTTTTCTTCTTCTGGAGTCTTTCGTGACTCCGCATCCTTGTATGAAGGCTTTGTCTTGGAGCTCTTGCTGCGCGATCTGCGCTTGCCCTGGGTCCACACCTGGGACCAATGACGATTGCATGTTCTGCAATAGTCCTGTTTTTCTCCATTGTTCTGTCGGCATATCTGGCAATGCCACGTCATTCTGACCTGTCGCCAAACCTGAGAAGGTACTTGATTTGCCTGGAATGAATGATGTCCAGCTAAAAACCAGATTGTTCTTTTCACCCTGGCTCTTTTCCTCTTTCCCAGTGACACCCCAGTTGACCGCTGGATGTACGCCCTGCACAGCTGTCGCCTCTTTCTGAGACGTCTGTGCCAGCCGGGTTCTTTGGATGTCTTTGGCGTGTTCAGAAATCAATGAAAAATTGCCAGCACTGATCAGAAAAGCGAGGAAGCGCACAACCATGAAAGATGGCGCTCCCCTAAGGTCAAAGCTAGGGCAATCAGCTGTGGTCACGACGCTGACAACCCCTGAACCGAAACCTTGGATATGTATATATATATATATATATATGTGTGTGGTTAATGATGGTTAATAATATAATCTGGTTGGTGGTAAAACAACCCCTCTGAAAAATATGAGTTCGTCAGTTGGGATGATGATATTCCAAATATATGGAGAAATAAAAATGTTCCAAACCACCAACCAGTAATGGCTCATAGGGATTGAAGCAACAAAAATGGGGATGTTTTTTTTGGAAATACCCTGCAGTAAACAAACATAGCAGCTATTCGGCATGGCCATTTATGGTTGATTTAGCTCTCAAAAATAGTTATGTTCCATACTTATGATAGTTTACCGAGGGTACCCCATCTCCCACGCATGATGATTACATGGAATTTCATAAGAGATGATGGAGATGTAATGATAATTAATGGTATATATATATATATATGGGGATGCAGGTGGAGTTACTAATGGATATAACTATATAACAAATGGTTCATATTTGCCCTTACAACCAACCACGTTGGTGGCGAAGCTTCGCCCTCTATCAGCCCAGATTACTTGGTCACCTTAACTAAACAGTACATGGGTTATATTAGGGTCACAGTAGTCCAGTTACCGGGGTGAACTAAGCCTCACCCGGTGGCTGGTCAAAACAGCCGGTGACTGGTCAAAGGGACATGCAAGTGCCGATGCCCGTGGAGCATGTAATGCTCTCCCAAGATCGCCGTCAGCGCTTGTTGCACCTGGGAACAAACATCAGGAATTTCAGCATCAAAACCTTGGGACGTCACCATGAAATGTTGCAATGATTAAGCATCTACTAAAGGGGAGTTTGCATGATTTCACTTGCCAAGTGAACATATGTGAAAATCATACATATGGTATCAAAATCCGTGTGTATATACTGTGTTTATTCATGTGTTCTTTTTTTACCTTTTTTTATTCAGCCCCCTTTGCATATAGTTCTATAGTCTAAGTATCATACATGTATAATGGCAGTTACTATTCAATGTCCCGGTGGTCAAATTGAATCCAAGTGATAGGCTGCTGCAGTTCTTGCATCTGTGAGCCTGAGGTAATGCCAATATTGCTCTTTTAGGAAAAGATGAAAGGCTGGTTTGGTATACTCTTTCATTCTTATCATCTAACAGGATCTAACATCTACCGGTTGGTTGTTTACTGGGGAGAGGTTTCTATTAAACACCCAACCACTGCACAAAGGACATCAATGGAACTTCCGTTTCCATCTGTTTCCATCAAGTTGCTTTCCAACTTTCATAGACATGTGCGACCAAACAACCATCCATCCACCACCTAACAACCAAACAACCTCATCGTCTAAATTTGCCAGCAATTAAGATTTTTAAGTTAAATCCATCAACCAAGGTTTCATGAAAATGGGCATTTTTTCACAAAATCTAACCATTCAACGACATCAAGCAGGCAGCTGCGACTCCCGCCTGCGGCATTTCGATGACGTGGTTCAGTTCCGGAATCGCTGCCAGGACCCCATCCGCCAGCCGCCACGTCCTCAGGAAGTGCCGATGGAAATTCCATGGAAGCTCGATGGGAATTATGGGATCTATCGATCTATCTACCCTCTGGTGAACTAACATAGCCATGGAAAATGGCCCATTTATAGATGATTTTCCCATGAAAAATGGTGATTTTCCATTGCTATGTTAGTTCACCAGAGGGTATATACATATGTGTGTGTGTGATGTATATTAGTCCAACCCTATTGTAATATATATATATATATCATATGAATTCATATGATATGATAGATACCCGCAGAACCAAACGTTCGCCATGCTCACATAATATCCCGTGTTCATCCGTTTTCTTCCAATTATATTACATCATTGCAAAGGATATATATATATATATATATGCCACCCCCTCAAACAATACGTAAAAAGGTCTTATAATGGTTATATTGTATTATGTAATATTTGTTCCATCATATTACATCCTTACAGAAGGATATAAATCGCACACTAAGACTTTGGTCAGTGGTGCAAAAGGGTCGCTTTCTGCGAGAAAACCTAGGATCCGGGAGAACCAGAAATATCCGGGAGAACCAGAAATTTACGTCAAGAACCTTCCACGACTTCGTGGTGGTCTGTTGAAAACTCGGGTTGTGTTACACGAAAAAAATCGAAAAAAACATAGGCTCCGGGCCAACGTCCGGATCTGTGCGGATAGATAGATGATATTGATTTTATGTATCAGGAAATTATCCTTGTTAGATGATCGGACTCTATATGATTTAATAAAATTTAATATCCCTAATGCAATTTTAATCATCTATCTATAGGATTTGAATGGATTTGATAGGGATCCTGTAGGAATTTATCTACTTATAGAATTGATGAATATAACTAAACCATACTCAACCTATTTTTATAGGAGTTTATCTATTTATGATCATGCCAAATCGTCAATGCCTGATGTTTCTAGGAATTTTACGGCGAGATTTCGCCATGCTGGGGATCTGCAGTCCTGCCCTAGAGGATCACCCCGAAGGCCCTCGTCATCCCTCGTCTCTACAGCACGGCTGACAGTTGCATCACCCCGAGTCGGCCCCATAAATGGATATAAATGGAACATCAGATTAGACACTTCACGGATATTCAACTGGGAAATGTTCTAAGTTCTGCATCTCAAGCATTCTCAAGCAATTTAGTCTCATCTACCCTCCAAATGCAGATCAAATGCAGATCCGTTGAACCAAACAGGGGGTTGGAAGATTCGTTTCCCAACATGTCTTGGCTAACCATGGAACCATGGATGGTCCATGAGCCGAGCATCTCTTCGGGGCCCTTCGCATTGATGGCACTTGCCTGGCCATGTTCTCCCAAAATGGTGAGGCAAAAAGACAGAGGGGAGGGGGGAGAGAGAGAGAGAGAGATATATATATATATATCATATATCACATATCATATATCATATATATATTTATATTATATTATTATATAAGATATATAAAGAAACATGTCTAAACATCGTGATCACGCGCCGTCCCACCGGTCCCATCCGCCTTGGCGTAAATGGCCTGGTGCAATTCCGGGGAGGAACTGCCCGGCGGAATCCTCGGGGGGAATGGCGCTGCGAAGCCGCAGGTTCTTCATCGATTCACCATCAATTCACCATCTAATATGGTAAATCATTAACCATTAATTATCATGTGATGGTTAAAATAAAATGATGGTTAATCATCAACTAATATTAATGATAAAATAATGATAATTGATGACATAAAATTGATGATATCACCATGCGTTTTTCAATATTTTCGATAGTTGTTGATCATCAACAAGAAGGATCGATGCAACAAATGTGTGATTTTGTCAAAATTTGGTTCAAGCTTCAGCAGAAAGCCTTTTCGTAAGAAGTGCTCCAGCTGTGGATCTTTGCTCAGCATAGTAAATACTGGGCTCAGCGCGACACGAGGCCAGGGGGAACCCCAAAATTGGGCCACTAAAAAGAACAGCTTCACGCGGACAGAAATGAGAGATAAATCAAGGTGCTTCAAGGTGCGTCTTGACCTAAAAGCTGACAGGTTGAGAGAGCTCACATCTGTGGAAACTGATCTATAAATCAATGGGAATTCCAGGATCCTAAAATGGAGGTACTGTACCATATAAGGCCTTATATATGGTAGGTACCTCCAATCTAGGATCCTGAAATGGCCATTGAATAAATGGGGAATTTTAGGATTTTAGGCCTACGGATGTCTACGAATGTCCAAGTCGCTGATTAGCATTCCATGATGCTTTCGTCCCATGTGGTAAGCCCTTCCTATGGTGGGAAGTTAGCCCCTGGGATGAAAATGAAACATAGAGAAACAGCACAAAATTTATGGCACATGATTTCACATCATTTCACACTATTTTTTGGCCACATTTATATAAATTGGATCTCTTCAGGCCACTTGGGGATGATTCCCCCGGCGCCGCCGCCTGATCTGTGCCAAGTTGAACTGCTCCATAGCGCCATCGCTCAGGACCTGATGCGGAATTCTGTGCGATGAAGACTCCGTTGTGCACTCCATTGAAATCATCACATGACTTCCATATAGGGACGAAACTGAATATATATAACATTATATAATTAACATGATATTAACATGATATAACATGATATAATTAACATGATATAACCCATTAGATTCTAAGCCTTATATAGATGTTTTAACCATGACAATTTTCACATTGGCACTGTCCAGATTTTTGGTGACATCAAGAGTGACATCTCGTCAGCGGGGCCTCCCCGGACTCGGCACGGCCAAGTCCCCCAATCTAAATGGAGATGGATGTGACTAAGGATGTCCATCTCTCAAAAACTGATACAATTCTAAGATGTTATAAATTATAAATTTTAAGATGTTATAAGTTATATGGTATTGATCCATGGCCATGGATGGCTTGAACATGTGTTTTTTTGCGAAAAAATGCGTCACAACGGCAGTTGTCACCTCTTCAATGCGGAGTTCTGCAGCAGGCCCACTGGTCCTGCCATCAGTTGCCCCCTGAAAGCATCAACATTGACCCTCTGGTAATTTAATTCATCTATAAATGGGCTATTGTCAATCTATATATATATATAGCATTATATAGCTGCATGCTGCTACATTATAACATAGCTATATATAGCTATAGTAAATTACCGGAGGGCCCTGGGCCCAGGGCCATCATGATGACACCCCAGATCCCGGATGTTCTCCTCTCGATGCGGAGTCCAATGGGTTTGGGGCCACCAGCATCAGCACGTAGCCTCAAGGTGGTTGGCTCCAAAAGTGCAGCTATTTTGATGATCCTTTACCCACAAAGATTGGAGCCTAGGTCAATATTTCTCTCCATCGCCATCCCAAAGGTTCAGTGTTGAGGGCGAGCTGGTGGCCCAAGCAAACCGAATATTGACTTTATTTTCAGTAGCAAACTTGATAAACATTGATAAATCCCATGGTGTACTCAATGTTCATCGATAATTCACCTGGCTGGACGGTCACATTTTACTGGGCGTATCTTACCAGTCTTACCAAGCTTCAGCATAGGAAAACCTACCGGGGGTTGGTGGTGCTGGGGTTGGGGCTGCAACCCCCACTTGGGCAACCCGTGCTCCACGGCGAACATCTGCGGATAGCGCACAAACCTGGTGTGACACATGCGGGTGCTGTGAGGTGTCGGGGCAGCCGCTGCAAACGTGGTGGATCAAAAAAAGGCTACCCGGCTACCCCATCCTCCATATCCTCCAGAATATCAAAAACATACAATTGAAACATATTGAAACTCTCTGAGGATTGGTTTTATCGGCCTTTTCGGGTACCGGGTACCTCTGGGACGTTCCAAAAAGGGCGCCTCAAGGCGCCCCAAAAAGCCCAGACGCCCAGACCTCAAAGCCACGCTTTGGTTCTTCCGTAGTTCCTGCTGCATCTCCTCGCTGGTTCACACAGAAGTTCACACATAAAACCCGCCGGGGCCCCGATCATATACCCCAGCTAACTGGGGATCAGAAACATGTGTAGATCCATTGGAAAACAATATTATTGAAACGGGGTTTCGATTGGAGGTATTGAACATTAGGGGGATGGGATTGCCAAAGATGACCAAAAAAACTATGGTGGAGCCTTCGAAGTTGACTCATGTTGGAAATAGGTGGGTCCCCGGCTGGTAAATCCTTACCAAAATCATCATTTCGTAGCAAATGGAGGTTTCCTAAGGCATAAGGGTACCCAAAGTCATTCAAAACATTGGACCATTTTCGTATAGGTCGGTTAACCGGTTGACTCATGGCGACTTGGGGATCCCCCAATCTATGAACCCCGCAACTGAAAGTTGCCTAAACCCCGGCTCTCACCAGTCACGCGGTCCTCAATCCTTGTCTTTCCATTCACCGCATAAATGCGGTCGTACGCCAACACCTAGCAGTTGGCTACCCTCCGGTACTTTTAAAAACACAGCTATTGCAAATGGCCTATTGATAGATGATGTACCAATTAAAAATATTAAAAAATGGTGCTTTTCCATAGCTAATCCATTGCTATGTTACTGGAGGCTAACTTCATGTGAATGTAGATCCAATCCAGGCAAGTCCTGGACCTCGTTTCCAGGATGGGCGCGGTTCCACATCGTCAGCAAACCTTCTGGGGCCTCGGTAGTGGATAGCCCTGGATGTCCTGGTTTTACTCAGGTAATGGGATAGTTATGGGAATATCCCCAGGTGTGTTTTTCTTCGGGATATTGATGGATATTGACCATATTTGACAAATTTTGACAATGCGAATGGCGAATGGGTACCTCAAAGTCGTCATGAAACCTGCTCTGTTCCCGCCATAACCTGTCCACCTAGACCTCCACAGCTGGGAACTGTCCCAAAACTTGGGAGTAAGAGACACCCTGCCAGGCAGCTCTGCCATTGGGAGTAAGCTGGTTCCTAAGGTCCTAAATCCCCCCATCACAAAACAGTGATGCAAGGTTTCACCATGTTCATACTCTGCCTGCATTTTCAAACGCAACGTTCCCAAAACACGGAAACCAAAATTAGTTCTCCATGGGAGACTTCGCAGGTGCCAAGTCACAATCTCGCGTACCACCAGGACCTGACAACCAACAAGACACTTGGTGGCCAGCAGAAGGAACTTGCGCAAGTCACGTGTCAGTTCTGCCTGTTTGAGAACCCCGTTGCCGTGGTGAAATCTTCATTTTGCTGTGTAAAAAACATCATTTTATTTAACCATCATGCTTAAACTTCCATAATGTTTTACAATTAATTATATATCTTCTCAGAATTCATTGGTCATTGGTTACATCCCTTTTTGTTAATTGTAAAAGCACAAAGTCACTTCTTTATACAACCACCCCTAGATTTGCCTTTGTTTGTTGATGCAAATCCCCAATGTCTTGGTTAAACGGGTCAAACCTTTCCCAATTAACCAGAATTAACCAACATGGCTGAGAATCTCCAACCCCAATAGCCATAGCTCCGAATCGCTGCCCCATGAATCCCCAGGATCCACATGGTTCATCTCACTTCGAAAAGTAGGGTAAGTGGGATTAGTCCACCCAATAGGATCCAATAGGGTTATATAAGTTTTATATATATATATATATCAATATATATATATATATCTTAAGATATATATATATATATATATTGAGATATATATCCTCTGGCAATCAAACGTAGCTCCACTGGGAAATTCATCGTTCAATCAAGGGTGGATTTTCCAGCCACGAAGCTGGGAAGACACTGGTACCCTAACCGAGTCCTATCTCTCTCTCTCTCTCTACAATGTGGTGCCCCCTAGATAGCTAAGTTGGTTTATAAATCCAATAACTATGGTTTATAGGTGATATATCTATAGTTAATGGGATTATAAACCAACTTATAACTTGGGGGGCACCACCTTGTATATATATATATACGTATAATATTACATAAACACATATGTAAATTTCGACATAGCTATGGAAGCCATGGCCCGATGATAAACATTGACATGATGATTTATGAAATATGATCAATGGTAAATTCCATTAATAAATCATCATGGTGAATCATGTTCCATGCTTATAAATGGTGATTTAGATGATAAACATCCATATAAATGATGATAATTTATCTATGGTATTTAATTAATGAATATCGGAAATTCTATATATATAAATGAAGATGATGTTCATTGATTTTCCATCTCTTTCCATAGCCAAAACTGGTGGATTTTCCACAGCACCCTGGGTGAGCTCCCACCCGCGGTGCGCGGCGAGAAGGCGCGCTAGGCGCGCTGCCACCTTCCGCCTTGGTGAGATCTTCAATCCCAATGACATGCCAATAGATCCCAATGATCTTCAATCCCAATGATATGGCAATGATAAGCAGGGGTTGATACATGACCTAAGTGAACATCACCGCATAAAAAGGAACACATTACATAATCTAAAACAGATACCTGAAAGTGATGTTCAGCATCCCCAAGCGGGACATTTAGCAACCTCTGATAGATATCCCAATCTAATATAATCCAATCATTTGGATTGCAAAAACATGATTCGTGACATCTATTAGGTTAGAGAGTAAAATTTGAGGATATACCATGATATACCCATATCTTCCACTGCAAAAACATCCCGGCGGACCGGGAACTGTGCTCCTAAAAACAACGTAATTTTCAAAAAATGTAATTCTCGCTTTAATTTTATTGCCATAGCGAAACGCACATTTCTGTAAGCCGAATTGTGCGAAATTCTCGCGCGAGAATTTGGCCAAATTCGCGTTTCGTGTGGGTTTTGGAGCCATTTCATTGGATGATGTTGACAGGCCCTTTCTTTCTGTCTTTTCAAAGCAGGCGCTTCAGCGTTGAAATATGTTGAAATTGTTTTTTGCTGGAGCCGGGCACGCAGATTCACATATCTCCACTGCCAGCATTTCACATAGAGGAGAAGATCTTTGCTCTTTGAAGACAACGAGTTGGGGATGAAGTCTTTGACAGCACTCCATGCGGCATCGATTGTTTCAGTGTGGCAACTGATTTTCTCCATTCCACAGTAAACAGTTTTTTCAAACTCACCACGGTTGTGGGCTGCCCACTCATGCAAAGTCTTTGTATCTCGGGTCATTCTTGGGTAAGGTGCGTTTTTGCGA